TTGGCGATATCTTTACAGAATAGATCATCAGGTAGTATGGCTAGCTTCTCTAATGTTACGTAGCCTGGTTGTGTTGGGTTGTACTGTGCACGTCCCAATGATGATAGGTACTGTGAAAAAATACAAACTGTCCATAAGTGTGATGAAAACAAACACAATTCAAACTTTGCAATATGTTGCACCAAATGTTAGGCGAGAAAACTTCAGACGTGTTGTAATTTGTGTTTTTAGGCAAAACAAATAGATCTGTTTCTGTTCCATGTGTTCCAAAAGAAGAAAGATGCCACTTGCATGTGCAGAATGTATGTAAAGAATATTCTTGATGGCGTACAAAGGTTTGTTATTGAAATACTAATTTCTATATACTAAAGAGAAAAAGTATTTACAATAGATTAGAACTGTGCGTTGGGAAAATACTGAAACTAAAAATTCAAGTGATATAATTTAATGTATGAATAGTTCTTTATTACGGTGAGCTAGCAGATCAAATAGCTTTCTACTTTTCCCAAGTAGCAGCATTATTTAGTTGCACATTGAACATGATATTTGAAAGAATTAAAGTTTAGTCCATATATAGTCAGGCCACAACTGCCACATACTGTAAAGGGGGTAATTATTCACTGGGTTTTAATTTAGCTTATTTCGCTGACTAGGAAAATGTGCTAAATTAAAACCCAGTGAATATGTAAAATTTAGCATAAAACACATTATCTAAATGACGAAACCGTGAATTTAAAACCCACTGAATATGCCTGAAATGGTAAATCAGTGAAATTTAAACCCAGTGAAAATTAGTCATTTTACAGTAGTTATGGAACCTCTATCATTGATTGGTTAACTCAAGAGTGAACAGCGCCCTCAACAGTTATAAAATAAAATTTATTGTTTTTATCACTTACTTGATGTCTCTCTTTGATTCTTGGCAAGCTGGATCTGAACACACTCGGAAACTGAACAAATTGTTTGTGTTTCAGACCCACAGTGTTGTGCAGGTAATCAAATGTACTTAGAAGTTTAAATTTTCCTGTAACAATTGAAACAATAGTCCCTGTGTTATAAAAATTACTTAAAAAATGAAATACAGTGACCCCCTTACTATGTCACACCTCAGTAAGTCTTGATTATGGCTAGGTGGAGGGTAGTTGGCTCCCAAAAATTCTATCGTCTTTAGCTGGTAGTTTTAAAGTAAAAGAACTAATAAAGTTTCGTCGCATCCTGTATTTAATTGGCTGTTGAAGAACTGGAAGAGACAACTTAACACCTACTGGCCATCAATTACTGAAATACAAAGGGTGATGGTGGCCTGACTCAAGGTGTCGACAGGGGTATGAAGTCGTGACTTCATATTTCTCAGCATGTCCCCCTTGATAAAGCTCTATTGAACTTGCTGCAATGTATTGAATCCATGCAGACATGGACACTGTTCAATAACGAAAATGTACTATAAATAAACCCATGTGTATATATGTGCTTTTTATCCATTTTCAATGCACAACCCTTCACGATACCCCTCGGTAAGTATTTTTTATTTTCATGAAAACTTATTAATACATATATCAAACATCTTTAATTGCAGTTTCTCACAGTTTTTAATTATTAATTAAGAGAAGTGATCAATGAAAAAAGAACCATTTAGGATATTCAGATTTAGACACAAATTGTATAGCTTTTGAAACATACCGGTAATTTATTATCAACATGCAAAGTTTCCTTGATATCTTGCTGCAGAATTTCTTTTAAAAAAAAGGTTGTATTTGCACAGAGAGAAAGAGCTTTATGAAACCAATATGTAAAGGTTTAGAAATGCACATTCCAGTTAGTTTGATCACTGTTTGTTCAAAAAAAAATTTAACTTTCTTTCTTTTTAACACGACAGATGTCAAATTAGTTAGCAGCATGGAATAATTCCCTTTAATGGTAGAGCTCACTGCAAACTTATGCTGATTTTGTTTTTATTTCCATAATTGTTATGTTTCATTATTTAATTAATTAATTTATGCAAACTCACTGCAAACTTATGAAAATATGGAAATTTATATTAAGAATTTAAAATCAAAAAATAATCAAATGTAAAGAAATGATCAAAATGTAATTTTTGTTTCAATGACATGATCTTTATTCCATCTACTTTACTCTTAGTTTCAAAGATATCCAGATGTTATTGTGTTGATACAAATGGACATCTAAACTGATCAGAAAAGCTGTTACCCCTAAGGCAATAGAAATAGAAATGCTCCATTATAGACGGTACCATGTACAGTTAAATTATTCAGATAGAAACACAGTAGTGCAGGGATGGACCATTAAAAATTGTGGGGAGGGCATGGCAAATGGAGCACGGGGTACATTTTTTACAGCTGAATACACATACACAGTGTTCTTTAATAGCAGAAATCATAATAACATCTTGATACAGTGACAGTGCTTTGTTTTACTGTAACACTGATCTGACACCATCACAGTCATTATTATTATTAAATTAATGAGTATGTCAATAAATATAATTTTCTTTAATTGTTCCATTATGCAATTGATATGAAAATTAGTATGGACACTTTTACTGCCAGAGTGGCTGTTTGGTGAGGACAAACACAAAATTGATGCATTTTTAACATTAAAGAACCAGTTGCAAACGCCCCCTGCTACAAAATATTACAATAATTCCTGACTCGTTACAAATTCACTACAATACACCTCAGTCAGATATGGCTATGGAGATCTTGAGAGTGAATAATGTTCCATACCCTCCTGTCATCACATCTACTGCTCCACTGATCTATGTATATTCATGATTCGATTCACATGGTTTCTCTAAAGTCAGCTTTCATGGCCATTCTTACAAACCTGTGCATGATCATGTTAGGAAAAGCTGTATTTTGTATTTGATCTGAGTTAAATTAAATGATTTAATTTGGCATGCCAAGGAGATGGATCCATCAATCAATTTAAAACGATCACATCATAGCTTAGTTTACAGTTAGTTTGGCATTTGATTTCCATTGGAAATGCGTTGCAACATGCGACTTTGTGTTCCCTTACCTTGATTTCATAAACAGTTAAGATAGAAGCCTACTCATCATTTTTGACAAATTTGTTTTTAGAACAATCCCATAGAGCGCAATGTTAAACAAAAATTGCATTTTCAACACTTTTTAAAACCCAGGTTTTTTAAAAATTCAGGAAAACAAAACATACCCCATCATTTACAATGTATTATTTTTTTCAGCCTATGTCACCAGCCTACAATTTGAGATATGTCATAATGTCTCTGCGAAAGGAACCTATGGTAAAAGTACTATAATACTAACAAAATGGTCGCTATCCACTAAAATACAACCATGATTTTTTTGAATATTAACCTGGTGACCCTCAACTTTGTTTACAGCCGTTCTGAGAATTATTCGGACAGTCAGTTAGCAAAATGACTTGCAACTTTGCAAAACACTTTGGTCTTTGCCCAATCTAGACTTGTCGGCGCCACTTGAGTGACGGGCGCGTGGTTTGGGATTACTATTTCATAGGGTTGTCGGCTTGGTGAATTGTAAGTATTATCTAGCGTGCGTTCACAGCAACCATTCTTTATTTTTTATAATTATATTGTAAATATTTTCAGTAATTTTGAAAATCACATGTTGGATGTTGCTTAAATCTGTCGAAAAATGTCAACCCCTCGCTCATTTTAGTCAGTTGTACCTGTTACAAAAATGGACTAGACATAATAACGGTCGTTATACCCCGTCATTTTCAAACTGCTGTTGAAAAGTGATTCGATCAAGGAAGGCACTTTTGATTTGACAAAATTCATCAAACCGTTATAATCAATTTTCCGTCTGTGTATCCCTGACGTACTCTCCCACCACTGTATAAAATCTGAATTTGAAACATAATGCACCAGTAATGTAAAAACAACTTTTAGTTTGGCCCAAAACTGACGCGAAACTGCAGCGCGTCCCACTAAGAAACTTTACTTTGAGCCTTCCCGCCAACGACGAGTTCATTAATACCTGGGGTTACTCAACACTCGGGAGTTGTTTTGTAAATTACGCTATGTCAGGTGGATTCAGATGGGTATAACAATTTAAAATAACACTTTGAATGCATATACAACATATAACCTGTTAATATATGGTAACCAACGCGTGTCGTTTTGAAAACAGCGTTTTACCCGCATCTTGCAAGATAATGGAATGATTCCAATTGTGGGTGTGCTAATACAACGGCGCCATCAAGTCTAGATTGAAAAAGACCCAAGTGTTTTGCAAAGTTCCAACATATATTGCTAACTGACTGTCCGAATAATTCTCAGAACGGCTGCAAGTCAATATTCTTATATTGCCTGGAAATACAATTTATTATAAAATGAATAAATTCTGGGTATTTGAAATCATGAGTAGGCTTCAACCTTAATACAGGTTAATAGGGGAATTCTGCCAAGGTATACATGGAAAGCCAATGGCCGAATAAATGAATCTTGGCTGCCAAAGATATTTTGAAAAGTAGATGCAATTACAGGAGAAAACTAAACACTATTTGAGGATCAGAAACAAGTCATGTGACTGTCTATTGATGTCTTGTAAATTTAAAGCATCAACTGTAAAATGAAGTACTGCAGCAATCCTACCTGTCTGTAGTATTTTGGGCTGATTTAAAACCATCTTCTTAAACTCTTTCTGTGAAAACCTCATCTGTTCCTTCAGGGCAAATATACTTCTTTTCACAGTGGCTAATTTACCAGGTAACAAGCTGCAAAAAATAGCAAGAACAACAATTATACCATTGGAAATATATTCATACCTAATTTCTCATGCATCATTCATTAACAAACATTTTAACTTTATTGTATGAAGTTTATTTTTTTAACTGATTCATTCCTTCAGCAAAAATATCGAAAATGAAATCTAATTGAAAATAAAGTCATTTACAGTACCGGTACGTTCTCAAAACCGAAATGGCCAACAGTCAAAATAAATTGGTTACATAATGTCTAGGAAATGACAATGGTTGTCATGGAGACAGACAGCGAAAATCCTCAGGATGAATGTTTTTTTTTGTTACCTTTGGGTTTCTTGTTATCAAATATCTTGTCTCATTTCCAGTTAGACTCAGTTCTTTCCGATAAAAACCCAGTTTATTATCAATTCTTTTAATCTGAAATATTAAAAAACATATTATTGATTATAAACCTATATTTTCCTTTCTAAAACATTCACAACAATAACATTATTTGAAATCACAAGATTCCAACTTTTGTTTTGCTAGGAGACAGTTTCAGACAATAAAAAACATTCACGATTTTTTTATTTTTATGAGAAACATTATTTTTTGCCTTAAAAAACATTCCATGTTATCATCTTTCTATCATGATGGCATTATCACAAGTTAATCTTTGAATCATGTCCATAATATTGTGTTGCTTACTTTTAATAGCAGACAGTTTCATTTGGAGAGTACTCCGTAAATAAATCACATTTACGACTAAGTTTTACTAATAAGCAGAGTGTTTTTTAAATGAGGTCATTCTCTCATGATCAAACTTAATAAAAATGCCTTTTTTTGAGCAGTAACATCCTGAACTTGATCTACTAATAGTTTTCAGCTATGTCGATGATTGACCACTCCAATGAATAAGCCTGGCAGGTGGTACAAATTCATGGTTTAACTTGGTTATCTTACATATCATAATATGAGGTCTAATATATATGAGGTCCAGAGACATACAGAACAGAGGACTTTCCCTAACCATCACTTCAACAGTGGCCTTTATTTTTTGGTAAGGTACTAGAAAAAATAACACATCATCTGCACACAACCTCTACTGACAATTCATTTAATTTGTCCCAACACATTTGTTTCACAAGTTAATGCATCCCAATTCACTTTCATTCCATTGCCTTTGATTAGCCTTACAATCTTGTGAAGGGTGACTTCCTTTATATATTGGTAACAAGACAATCATGCTTGATACATATATAATAAAATATGAATGGCATATAACGGGATCAGAAGGAAATGTGTTAATCCCTCATCAGTCTAGCTGACCTTCTGAAAGTCTAACAATTGAATGAACAGATGTAGTTGTAACAAAATATTTTACTATATAAATCTGATTTGCCCTGTCAGCATAAGGTCATGATATTTGCTATTTTGAGTGCATTATATAAATTAACTATTAAACTACTCAGCCCTAAAAAACTATTTCTGTCTCCAGTCTTTGCGTGCATCCGTTTCTTCATAAGCTTTTTTTTTCTTTTTGAAAAGTTCAATTATCATCGAAAAATAAAAAGATAAATTTGATAAGATAATAAAATGCACAATCTGTTTAAAAACAATTGAATGGATTTTTCGTTTTCGTTTCATCTGGGCCTATTATACAAATCATTGCAATTATGAATACTTACACTGAAATTAAGAAAATATGGTGCTCTTGTGATTATCTGAGAGATGGCTTCGTCTGTGAAATTCTTCAAATTCAGGTATGCCACTCTAGCTTCTAAATTATCTACACTCTCCATCAGAATGAAAGGATTCTTGGTGAGAAACTTTCCGAGAAGACTATCATCAACCCCAACATGGTGTAGAAATGAGAGTTTGTCTTTGATGTCTTTATCAAAATCCATTTTGATAAGGTTATCTTTGAATGTCCAGCGCTTCTGGACTTTTGATAAGTCCATACCAATCTTGACAAGGTTAGATAAAGTTTCTGATTGGTCTACATATGTTGCAAATGTTGGAGACACTGGTAATTGTGGAGTTATGTAAGGCTGGATACTTTCCAAGAATTCATCATCAAGATCTTCAAACATTTTGTGCGTTACCAGTCCTTGCTTGCCATTTCTGATGGAGGGCACTTTTTTGCCTTCTGTGTCATTATCATCAATCACAATATCATTTAATTCGTCTTCTCTTCTCTTCTCATTAAACTGACTAAGCTTAAATAAATCTAGATCATCATCTTTGTTGCCATTGCAATCTGCATCTCTATGATGGATTTGATCTTCCGATGGACCTGGGTCCCAGGACACACAGTATGTTTTTTTTGACCATGATACATAATTTGGTACATACTGAATTCTTGGCATCCAGTAGAACATCCTAGTATTTGGCAGTCGCAGTAAATGACAATGCTTCCTGGATGATGAAAGCAGCACCCTCACAGTAGTTCGTAATTTCCAGCTAGCCATATTTAAATGTCAGATCTTAATTGCTGTGTATCTAGAAAAACAAAGAAGTTTGGAAAAATTAAAACAATGGCAACAAGCCATGCATGGCACAGTCCCAGTTAGTTATCAAACTTAAGATATATAATTTTGTTTATAGTAATATAGTTCAAACATAAACGTGACAGAGATATGGATCCAGCAGCTGATGCTTGATTGTGGTAATATTTTAACACTGAAATGATTGACATTCTGTCATCTTGTATCTGATCGTCAAATGAGTACTTGTCAATATTGAGAGATATTTCTGTGGAACAGCATTAATTAAAACAAAATAGCCACTAGTCGTTCATTTTGAATACATCTGTATATCTATAACATCATGTAGAACAAATATATAAAATTTTAACATACTTAGTCAAATCATGTCAGAAATACGGCTCTAGAACAACATTCATTAAAACAAAATGGCCACTAGTTGGCCATTTTGAATCAGATTTGAAAAATAAAATGATGTGCATCAGGGGCCCAAAATGTCTTATGTATGTACCAAGTTTGAACAAAATCCACAATGCCAGAAATGCTTTATTTGTGATGATTTTTTAGCACAAATATGGCCGCCACTCGGCCATTTTGAATCAGGTAGTCAAACAAATATATCTGTACATCTATGACACGATCTATAATGAATATATAAAATTTGAACATAATCAGTCAAAGCATGGCAGAGATATGGCACTAGAACTGCATTCATTAAAACAAAATGGCTGCCAGCCATCCATTATAAATCCAATCTGAAAAACAAAATGATGTGCATTAAGGTCCCATAATGTCCAACTTATGTACCATGTTTGAACAAAATCCATCCATCCATAAATGCTTGATTTTGATGATTTTTCAGTACAAAAATGCCCCCCATTCAGCCAGCTTGAATCAGATCGTGAAACAAATTGATGTGCATATGTATAATATTATCATAATGTAATAATAATAATAACTTCATTGTCAACCTATCTAACATACAATAAAGATTAAAAGATACATAAAATATACATTTAAAATACAAAAAATACAAAAAAAAAATAAGAG